TGCTTCGCGTCCTTCTGCGCTTTCAGCTCGCCATTCCACCAACGTTTGGAATGTGGGCTGATCTTGCTGAGCGGGACGTGCTTCCCCACGCATCGCCACACCACCGCATCCAGGGCTTCCACGGCAGCCACCACCTCCTCCGCTCCTCCATATCCCTCCGCCTCTGGTATCCCTTCAAGCTCCTCAGCTAACATCTTGCCAAACTCCTTCCAGTCCGTCCTTCTCCAATCTCGCCTCTCCTCCACCACCCTCTTCGGCGGGACCAAATCCGCCTCCATGACAATCGGAAAGTGATCCGTCTTACCTGGTGTGCGCTCCGGGTACGCGTTGCAGGAGACGAAGTAATCCAAGAAGTCTTTGCTGCAGAAGACATTGTCGGGGCGGGTCAGATTGCCCGTGCCCTTCGCGCAGAGTGTCGGTACACCATGAGGGAGCGGCATCTCCATCCTGTACTGGCCGAGCAGCTGCAACAGCGGAAATACCAGCTCCTCCGCCTCGGCTGTAAAAAGGTGAGCATTTCTAAATTCGTCCCACATCGGACTATGCCGATTGAAATCTCCTAGCCACAAGTAATACGTACGTCCCGGGCCTGCCGCGGGTCTTTGCGCTTGCATGAAGTCACGGAGAATGGTAATTGTGGTGTTGTTGTCCCCGTCGTTGTAGATGTTGACGATGCGCAGTGTTCCGAACTCTCCTCTCAGCTCGACCGCAACGACATCCGTGGACGGGAAGTGGAGCTGCGACCAGGCTTCCGTGGGTAGCGAGGTATTGATCAACGTCACCGCTCTTGTCTTCTTGTTGTCCATTCCGTGCCGGGAAGGATACACCACCCGCCAGTATGAGTTCGCCCTAGTCTTGTCTCCGATGCCGATGTAAGGCTCTTGTAGCGCCGCTATATGGTAAGCCGTTTTCCCCAATGATTGTAATAAGTCGTGCTGATTGTCCAGGCTACGATCCAGGTTCTGCTGCCACAGCTTCAGCTTGCGTGGCGGCGGATCTCTCCCTTCGCTCGGGTTCATTGATCGTCGCCCACGGGTGGGGCCGGGACCTGGGTTTCTTCATCTTGGTTGGCGTTGCCACTCACCGTATCGTCAAGATCGGACCATGGCCGTGCTCCGCTGCTCGGGCCGTTCCTTTCCACATCCCCCGTGACCGTAGACTGCCTCAGAGGCGAAGGTCCCGTCGGTGCCCTCCAGCCATACCTCCTCTCGGCCCTCTCCACCCCTGCTCGTATTCCTCTCGACACCTCCTCCACCAACTGCTCCTCAGCCCTCGCGCGGTCATGTGGGCTGGTAACGCCGCCTTGATTACGGCGCTGACTGGCTCCAGCAAAGGCGGTCTGGATAGTAGGCTGGTACAGCCCATCCCGAGACCATCTATTGCCGCTAGCTGGCTGCGCTGTATGCCTAGCGCGCCTGCCCTCCCAGCCTCCATCTACCGGCACCCCTCCCCCTTGCCCTGGCCTTCCACCCGCCAGTCTGCCTTGGCCAGCCCTCCAAGCCGAACCTGGGGCATCCGTGGAGACCTCAGCCTCTGCAACCCAAGTGCGTGAGTCCGCAGTCGGAAAGTAACGGTATGCTGCGGTTGGGTCTCTCTCTTTCATCTTCTGCATCTCCCGCTGGAAGACGGGGCACGAACGGTCAACAGCACCGTGCCCACTCACCTTGCAATTGGCGCATTTCGCGCCGGTCCGCAAGTCCGTCACCGTGCACTCCTTCGTCCGATGGCCACCTGCGCAGCGTCCACATACGTCAGCCTCCGCCTTGCAATCTCTCGCGAGGTGTTTGCCGTACTGCTGGCATTTCGCGCAGCGTCGCGGCTCGTCCTCGGTCTTCCTTGCTCGATGATGCCTGCCATTGAAAAAGAGGCCGTTGTCGATGGCATGATTAGCAGCTTCGTCTTGAGCAAATTCCACCCGCAAGTGGGCAACACTCTGCGTCGGAGACCTCTGGTGCGGGGGCTTTACCCAACGCGCTCCGATGATTGACCCATCCTCCAACCCACTGTCTTTCTCCACCAGTCTCCAGGTCCCCGAGTCGTCCGCCTTGGTGCCGATATCAACCCTCTCCACCAACAGTTCTTGTCGTCTGGGGCGATACGAGTAAGATCCTCCCAAGGCCGCAAGGAATTGCTTCATGTGGTTGTCGCGCTTGATCCAGCCCGCCATCTCTTCGCTCTTGCAGTCGTAGACCACTCCTCCGTTCTCCAGCTTCTTTACTCCTACAAAACTCGCCCCTTCCAACTTCGCTTCCATCAAGGTGAGTGCCAGGTTTGCCTTCTCGCGCAACACCTGCTCACTCAACTCGCTCAGCCCGTTCGTAATCGCATCATCTGCCTTGTCGACCAAGATTTGCCGACGCATGCGTGCTGCGCGAGCAAGTACGGAGGCCTGTGCAGCTGTCATACTGCGCGGCGGCATCGCCGCTGCCGCTGCGTACGACTGTGGTGCTGCTGCTGCTGTTGCCGCCCGCACCTCCGTTGCGACCTCCGTCGTCGCTTTGTTCGCCGCTAGTACCGTCTCCTGCAATACACGTAACTGCGCTGCAAGCGCCCCCACCTCCTTTCTCGATTCCTCCACCTCCCCTTTCAAAGCGGAGGACTCACCTTTCATTTCCTCGACCGCCTCCCGCAGTCCTCCATGTGTATCCTTCATTTCCTTCAACGGCCCGAGAATCGCTTCCTCTATCGCGTTTCCACACGCATCCGCTACTTTTTGCGGCAGCTCATCGTCCATCGTTTCCAGGAGGAAGCCGACTGCGCGTATCAATGTCCACAGGGTCTTCTGTATCGTCTGTGTGAGCATGGACGCTTTGATCAGTATGGCCCCAAGTTCCGCCTTTGTCAGAGTGGCGTCTTTCGCCACCCAGAGCGTGTCTTCCAGGTATTTCCTAGCGGCCTTCGCGTCCTTCACATCTTTTACCTTGTCTAAAGCTTGCATCATTGTCGGTCTGCTGTCCCAGGGTGATATCCGCGCTTGTATATCCTTGGCTGCCGTGAGGTCTATGGAGGGTGTCGATTTTGGGGTTGTTCCCCTGGAGGTTGTTCCGGACATCTCTCTTTCCTCTAAATGGTAGATTCTGTCGTATTTCGTTGCTCCCGAGTAGTTACAGGTAGGTAGCAGTAGTGTCCTTCAATTGCGGGCGCGTTCGTTGTCGCGCGCCACTCGTGTTCCGGGGTCCTTGTCGGAGTACCACGTGGTCGAGAAGAAAGAGAGTCATTGAGACTCATTTGGAGAAGGGGTAGTAGGTGTCACGGTCTCCGAAATCGAGGCTGTTTAGAGTGAGATGCGTCAAGTGCGTCTCCACTGCCGAGGCCGCGATGAATCGGCTTCGATAGATTGCCAGGTGGACGAGATTCGGCGCGCGACGTAAGAGTTCGACGCAAAGGTCGACAGGACAGTTCATGTCATGGATCTTCAAAGAGGTTAGGACGATGAAGGTATACGTCATTAGTCTGAGGTCCCTATCGCACGACGGCGACACGGACAGGCTCTGGATTCGGGGTACGTGTGCTTCCAGAGTCTGCAGAATGTGGAAGAAGCCATTCGACATGATGTTGTGGAAGTTGAGCGAGAGTGGGAGGGCCCCCGCGCGTGGAAGCCAGATCTCCAGTACTTGGACGAATTTTTCCTTCCGGACGCCGGTGTCCGTGATTGTGCTCCACAAAGTGTGTGTCGCAAGTGCGAGGTTGTTCCAGGCACGGCACACCCGTACGAGAGCGAGCAAGCGACCCCAAGTGGGAGGCGTCGGCATCGACTGCAGGAGGATATTGGAGGAGATCTCTGGGGGGAGACGGGCCATGGGGTCGAGGAGGGCGTTCAGCCCGCTTTGAGCGTGGCAGTGCTGGCGTTCCAAGTCTCGGAGGACCTCCTTCTGGCGTTCGATTGCCTCCTCGAGCGATCTTAGGCGTCCGCGGAGTTCGTCAACGGATGAGGACATGGTGGAGAAAGAAGCGTTGATCACATGATGCGTCATCATGATGCCTGTTTCAGACTCCGCGCCTCGAAACTTCACTCCGACCAAGGCACGACTCACACTGGTGTTGCTCCATCATCCTCGTACTCAGAATTATCCAAGAAACGGTGACCAGATTTCGGATTCCCCGTTCAGTGTCGAAAAATGCATGTCTGAGACCCGTTAGGAGACAGCGCCCAACTCTTCCGCCGAGTTTCCGCGCTGAGACCTGTGCGCTTCCGCCCCATTGCTTCCGGAGTCTCACTGGTCTGAGGTATAAAAGACCACCCTCGCCTCATGAGCTCAACTCACCGCCAACTTACACCACACTCCTCTTTTCGAACTTTATTTGAAACATCATGCCCTCTGCAATCAACCGCCGCACCAGTGCACCCCCATCTCGAGCACCATGCCCCGCATCTACCGTAGCCCCCATCAGCTCCTTTGAAGAAAGGGAGACGGAGCGCATCGACGGACGCAAGGAGATGTTCACCAAGGCCGCGGACCTCTTTGATGGGTACTTTCGCCGACAGACGTCCGGCCTGGATATCACTTCACTAATATGTGAGCCTGTGAAACAAAGATGAGGACATACCGAGTCGTCCTTTGATTCAACTATGCACAAAATTGTGAGTTCTTCCGCTCGACTTCGTATGACATCAATTCTGAGTTACTCGTCTAGGATGTGTGTTTGAATCATGCCCTTCGGAATCGCAGCGTAGATTACGACTTTCCGAAGGATTGTACATGTCAATCAGACCAGTACGCGGTACTGCGAAATACATACATGGTTGTTTTGCCTCACCGGGGTGCTCCATCAGTCTCTCTTACAGACGTTCGCGCTCCGTAACCTCCGCTAAGAAGCTGCTCCATAGTAGTACGGGCGGTTCGATCGTCGATCATCCAGTCCAAGTGACAAGCCAGGGCTGGCACGAAATACATGAATCCAAATTGGTGAATCACTCGAATGCAATCAGCAGAGGTTCAATATCGCTCAGCTTCGGAGTTGAGAGTCGTTGGAGATTCTGGGTCGTGATGACCCCTAACGGCGTCATAGCTCAGCTGGGAGAGCAACAGACTGAAGTTCACACATGTACACATGCATCCAATATCTGGAGGTCCCGTGTTCAATCCACGGTGATGCCATGTTTTTGCTCTCTTTCACCTGCTCAGCCCACCTCACTTTTTTTCCCCGCCCTTATTCAGACTGATGTACATTGTCACATAATCGTACAAATTAGTACACTCTCCGTTGGCATATCACATATCTCTCTCTTGCCCCTGCGCTACGGTGCATCCTCAGGCTGCCCGTCGGCGGTGGCACTGGTAGTCCCCAACTGCATGGCAGAATCCGACTCCTCCCAATCTCTATGGGCGGCGCCGTGCAGGTTGAGCATCAACCTGCATACCATCGTTACTGAGATTCTGTACGCGTTGAATCCATCACTCAGTTCAAAGAAAATGTAGAGCACGCACGTAGAGGCGAACCAAGCGAGACTTCCGGCGCTGATCAGCTGTGCTTGGTTTGAGGAGGTGAATGAGAAGTGGTGCAACTTGGACGTACGTCTCCGATCTGATTATTGCGAAATCACCTCAGAGTCCAGGCAGGGATAGAATGGGGACGCACGTATAGCCCCATAATGTTCACGGCCACCACCAGGCCGATCATTCTGCGCCGAGTTCAGATTTGAATCAAGGAGGGAGGGAAGAATACAACACGAACCCGAAATACAGCGCCCCTGTTGAGGATAAGTCTCGATCAGCATAATCCGCCAAGTGCATGAATCAAGATGCTCACCATCGCGAACCATGATGCCCAAGATAGAGTGCATACGTATTCCGCCGTGCGCTTGGTACGAGCAGGCGCGGTGCATCGTCAAGCAGACGATGAGGATGTCACAGACGAGTCTGCCATGGAACTTAATATCGCGGGTAGTGGAGGAGCGAGATCTAGACCAAGACGTACTGTGCTTCCCAAGCGGCGGCCATCCCTGCGAAGCCGTGTGAAATTGGAGTAACTGCTTTGTTTGATGAACTCACGAATCGCCCTGCATTTCAGTTGCTTAGTTAGTGCCGAGTAGAGACTGTACAGCACTGGGAGACTCACATTCCGTGCGAGGTAGGCATATGACAACCAGAGAGGGTCGTGCTGATACTCGTATTAGGGCCAGTCACAGAAAACTACGTTCGTTCTTGCCGTTATCAAAACCGAAGAACGAGAATACGAGACACGCACCACGCCCAGTCCGATAGTTATGACAGCCACGACACCCAAAGCCGCGAAAACGCGTCGATTGAAGCCGTACATTGCCAGTACCCGTGTAGCGAGCGTCGCTTAGGGATTTGAGATCGGAAGAAAAAAGATGGCCCTGTCGCATCACTCACTTTCGACAAAAGTCTCCTGGATGAGCAATAAACAGTTCTGGACGGTGGAGAGCTTTTGGCATCTACAGCCCCGAATCAGACGCGCGAAGTCGAATATTTCACAAGTCGTAGCGGCAACTCACGTCTGGAGTGCATGAGATCAGACGCCGCTTCGTCGCAAGAGAAAATAAGCTGGCTCACCTGTACATCGAGATCCCCGAGGAAGTAGGGAATCAGCGCAAAGTTGCCCGCTAGCGCGAAATATCGGACGAGGAGAAACCAGATGGAGCTGCGCTTCAGCTTCGGGGTCCAGATGTACGTGATCTCCTCGTCAAGAGTGAGTAAGTGGTTGTAACACAGCACGACTTGAATTTTGGAGGGTCAAATTTCGGGTAAATGGATGAATCAATGGTGTGGGGAACGCACCAAGTCCCGCGAGGAATAACCGCCGTCGGACGCATCTGGAAGGTGCGTGATAATGTGAATACGTGTGGGAAGCAGACATTAGCGACGTACTGGTCATGAGCGAGTGTCCCGACATCTAACTGAGCCGGGGGCATGAAGTGGGGAAGGAGAAAAAGAGTGCGACGCGGAGGATCAGCGCATCCAGGCAACGGATTTGCAATTCTCGCGTGTCAACTCGGCTACTTCCGCAAACACAACGGGTAGAAGTGCACCGAACTGGGGAGTTTCAACTTCCTCGGAGTCTATAATTTGAATAAGGTCGTTTGAATTTGGTTTGAATCGAATCGAATCGTGGAAACCGAATAACACACTTACAAATCAAGACTTGATCAAAACACCCAGTCGGCATTTGGTCGGCGTCGTCACGGGAAGATCACTACGATCAATTGCCGACACCCGGAACGTCTCCACAGCGACACATGAGCTCGGCAAGGTTATAGCCCGAGTGGAATAGTCGAATCTCGTCGCAGGTTCAAATTTGATCTCCAACCTGGCTGAAGTTGTTTTTTCAACTTTTGCTGGCATCGAACTTCGAAGGTTCAACAGAAAAGATCAAGTCCCCGTGGTTATATCCATCGCTCCACGACTCCTCTCGCCTCGCCCTTCCATCCAGAGCCTTTCCCGTTCAATTAGGTGCCCGCACTACCCACCAGGAGCCCCAAAAGTGCGACGGTCGCAATTGCAACAAAGTCGCCCGTCGAAAGTCTCGAGCCAGAGTTGGTTTTCGAAGTATTGATATTAGTGTTGACTGGGTCCGCAGCCCCCGTGGTTGTGGTTGCATTGGTAGTATTGGTCACTGAAGGCGTGGGCAAAGTCAAGATAGCTGGGATTCCGGTTCCGGGACACGGATTGTTCACTGGATCCAAAATGCATGCGGGATCACTCGTGGGCGATGGAGGAGGTGCGGGGCAGGGATTGTCCGGCGAGGGGTCGAGGATACATGCTGCGTCCGGAATAGGAGATCTAAAGCCCAGCGATTGGGCTATAAGAAACCGTGCGCAATCAAATCGGATCCACTCACCCAAGTGCCCTGGCCATGAGATGTTCTGGTCGCTCAACGGGCGACCCGTGTGTCAGACTCTGATTTCGCAAGGGTATAGCTGTGGGCAGAGCGTTGGTCACTGAATGAACCACGAATGCCACCCAGCTATCAAGAAATGAATTCCAATTCCCGGAAGTAGAGCAAGTACACACCAGAGCGCGGAAAGAAACAGCATCTTCGATCGAGGTCCTGACGAAGAAAAAAATGGAAACAAAGAAAACCGCAGACCGGCTGGCAGGTAGAGGAGAGAAGAGAAGAGACGATGACCAGTGGGTAGCCTCTACACGCGCATGATAGGGCTTTAAGTATAGTGATATTCAAGAAGCTGATTCCGGTTCCTATGCCGGCCATGAGACAGTGATTGTTCTCCGGAATGCTGTGAAACTTGAAACCAAATTGAAGGGGATCTTCCCTCAGGACTCAGGCCTCAATCGAGCCAACCCGGAGATTTAGCACCCACGACTCACGACTCAACCCTTGTCCAAGAAGAATCCGAGTCGCGAGGAAAACTGCGCCCAAATTTAAAGGTGGCGAAGTTGTTGTCAGTGCTGTCACTGATCTTTTCCCAAGCATGTGGGAGAATCTGTGATAGTTAGACCCAACATGATGATGAAGTGAAAATGCAAGGGAACAATACGGGAGGCAATCTTCGCTCACACGACGGGCAAAGGCCAAAGGTACGTCAATGATACAAGGTGTGTTTGACTCGGATTTGATGTGTGGACCTTCAGTTGACTATCGCCAGGATAGCAACAGGCCCGAGAATAATGGATAAAGAAAAGGCTGCGGGAAGCACGCGGGGCCAAAAGAACGTTGGATGAATGGCCATCGTGGGGGTCGAACCCAAGACCTTCGCGTAATATAGCTATTAGCACGACGCTCTAACCAACTGAGCTAGACGGCCATGGATGGGCATCTACTCATTCCTCCCCTAGCTCTCGTTCTCCGAGGGACCAACTCCTGCGTTCCCGTCTATCCGCCAGAAAGTACTCATTCTCTCCTATTCCATCCATACATATTCGATTACCCCGAATTCACCTTTAATACCGCACAACGCAAACCCTCCCCCTCACAAAAACCAACAGAATCCCATAAACCTCGTCAAACACCATTGACTTGGTGTTGAAGCCAACCATCGACGCCGGGACTGAAATCTCCAACCTCTCATCCGACCCGCAACACAGAACCACCAAACCACCCGTTTCATCCAGCTTCCTAGCAAGTACCTGCCGCCCACCATACGCAGAGCGTTCAACGTGTACAGAGGCTGAAGCCAGATTCTGGGCAATGACGCGGAACGGAGACGGCTCTTTGGGAATCTCCTCCGATACCGGCACAGACGAAGGCCCAAGAGTGACGAGTGCGGTGGAGACGCCCAACGTATGTGGGTCCACGAGCACCGTCTCATGAAACCACATCTCCCCGCCGTCCATCGAGAATTCCATGGATTCGTCGAGGGACGACGCAGGAAACTTGCTTGCTGGTTCCACCACCGCGGGGTGAATCATACGTCGGGGGCAGGAAAGATGGGACCAGTCGAGCCCGTCGGTGTTGTCGGACAATGGGATATCGATAACTTGCAAGCTACGCCCCGCGGTGGCAGATTTCACAACGAGAAACACACTATTTGGATAGTCCTCGTGCATTGCGGTGCAGGTTATTTCACAGTCCTTCAACGCGTGAAATCAACGTTCATTTTATCAGAAGGAGAAATTGAAAGACGAACGATATCTGGGAGCGTCCACTGAGCGCGTTGGCCGCCCTCGAGGCTCATGACAGCCACCGTATCGCGACTCCTGGCAAGAACACGCGAGCCTTTGACAGAGATTTGGGTGGCATGGAACGGCAGTTGGCACAGATGCGTCCGTTTGACCGAAGGAGTCCTCGTCGACCTTATGTACTCCACGGTAAAGACACTGAGATAGCTGTTCAACAAGATAAAATTAGTAGAAGATGGCCAAGAATGTTGAAAACGCACCTCCTAGCCTCCCTCTCCTCGTCAAACGCCATAGACAAAACCACAATCGTAGTTTGCACGCCATTATTCCCGCTATACCAATCTACCTCGGGTACCCCACGTCCAGGCCACGGCTCAAGCCCCGTGCCCGATGCATACGGGACCTCCAGCTGCACCCCGTATTTCCCTTCGAGGTCGTAGACTCCAAGATGGGCGCTAGACCCAAGGAGGAAGGACCTCCCGCCCGGTAAGACGTTCATATACGTCGGCGGAGCGTGCCCCAGTAGGGAAGGTACACCGTATTTGCGCGGGCTCCAAAATGCATAGACTGGGAGGTCGTAAAGATGTGTCAACTCGGAACTCCGAATATGAGTCGGAGTTGCTGCTGCTCCGGGCTCGGGGAGAGAGGTTGAACGCCATTTGGATTCGATGGATACGCTCCGTGCGGAATTCCGAAGAAGGGAAGCCAACGGGGTCGTTTTGAGCGTCTCGCCCAGTGGAAGACTAAGTTTGTATGCGTCTGAAGCGGCCAACCACACGCTGCGGTTCGTCAGGCAGATGGAGCGTAGGTATCTGCACGTCTAACCCGATCGAATCAGAGTCGTTTCAGTTTTCGAATAAATCACCACGCACCCTGCTCAAGTTCAAGATATCTGCCAGAGAGGAGCCACGGAGTACTATGAGGACGAGTTCGACTGGCAGAGAGTGTAGTAGACTTCTGGCCATGGTGAGGGTAGAAAGCAAGGAGGTGCTGCTGAGACATCACACGCGTCTGCTTTTAGTTCATTCTGGCCGATCGCTGACAGTGGCAGCTCACGATCATTACCGCCGTTTACATCCCGGCCTGCAAGTGGGGAACGGACTTGTTCCGTCTTTGGGTGCGTTGCAGCTGCCAGCGGGCGAGCTCCGTCGCCACAATCTTCAACTTTTAGCCCAGAGACTTACCTGGCAATTGCAAGCACTGAGCGTATCATCGGAACAAAAGAAGGAGATCTAGACGTTACTTGCCAAGCGAAGCACACATGTCAAAGTATTATGAAGGCCCTTGGTGGACAAAAGGTGTTTTTTTGTTGCCGCCACCATCATTTCCATGACATCTTCGAAGATCTTGCAAGATTTGGCAAGATTTCCCACTTTGTTCAGGATCTTGGAAGATATTGGATGATTGTTGACTTGCCCTGGCATTATTTGACCATCATCTTGCAAGATCTTGTGAATTTTCCTCCCCCCAAGACCTTGAAAGTTTGTGCAAGTTCCACTGATTCATTTTGAGGCCACTGATTTGCAGGGAATGTTCAAAGATTTTGAAAGATTGAAAGACAAAATATGTCTCACAAGTCTAATAGGGATGCAAGGTCTCACGAGAGTTGGTGGTGCCGTGGTGGCCGAGTTCAAGCCGCTACTGTGATCAATCATTTTATGTTGAAGGGTGCAACAGTGTGATCTATCCGTTTCCTGGCGGTTCGGCTGCCAACGGATCAGCAGCCCGAGTAGGTGGCAATCAGAAAATCAGTGATTGCCATGTGGGATTTGCTCCAACACTTGCAGCCTTTAACCTTCCAAGATCCTGTGACACACCAGAGAATTTGTGATTCCAGTGTCAATTTTTTTATCTTTTCCCATTTGTTGTCTGACTTACAAGATCTTGCATCCTTGCATTGCAGAAAATATCATCTGAACACTGCTTGAAATACCACATTGTGCAAAAACTAGCAAGATATCAATGGATGTCGCAAGAACTTGATTCAACTTTCAAAATAAGCCAAATCTTTCAAGATCTTGAGACTTTTGTTGAGATTTGAAGAAAGAACCACACATCCCTGCACAATTCCAGGTTTTGTCTACCAAGGACCCTCAAAAAGTATTCCCGCCTTAAAACTCAGAGCGGTACCGAAGCCCCCGAAACCACGGTAGCATCCACCACCATGGGAAGGATGGAAGTAATTCAGTCTAGATCTTCATCCAACCACCGAATCCCTCAACCCGACTCCGACTCCTTCCTCTTCATCTCCAACCTCACCTCACTCGACCACTTGAAAAAATCGCACTTCCACTGTGGATCGACCTCCTCCCTCGGGCGCTCCGCCCTCCCGCGATCGTATCCCGGTCCCACCGGCCTAAATAGGCGTCAGAATATAGACCATGAGAAAGTTAAGAGAAGATCTCACCTCGCACAAACGAAAAACATCTTACCCTTATTCGGACCTGGCTTATTCACAGTAAGCTCCTTTGCAGGCTCCCCATGTACGAGACACCTCGGAGGCTGGATGGGCGCTAAGAGGGACGTCCACGCTTGTTTGTTCTTCGTCTTTCCCTTCACCTGGCTGCTGCCGCTGGCTCCGTCGGATTCCTGCGAAAGCGAGAGCGCGAGTTTGTAGTCCGCATCCAAAGTGTCCGCCGCCACCGCCGCCGGGTCGTTCGAGCTGCTGCTGCTAGCCGGCGATTGCGATTTCTGCTGGGTCCCTCCCGCCGAAAAGAATGACGCAAGACTCGTCTGTCCCTTCTTCGCTTTCGGTCTGAGCTGGAGATTGGCCGAGTCCTTGTCCTTCTTAAGCTTTTTACTGCTTGAAGAAGCGACGGGCGGATCTTGAAGAGTGCTACTTTTGCGCTTCACAGTAGGGTTAGGAGAAGCAGCGGTGGCAGGCGGCGCGGAGGGTCGAGCCTCGTTGGCAGCAGGTACGGACAGAGGCGATTGCGAAGGGGGTTGGACCACAGAAGACGATTCCACCACCTTCTTGCCGAAAAACGCGTCCAACTTCCGTTGCTTATACTCGTCCCAAAACTTTGCTGCAATCCGCGGCGGCTCTCCTCCAGGGTGCGGCACGACGTCCCGCAGCTTGACGACCACTCCGTTCGCGTCGATGATCTCGTCGTGGAGGTCGACAAAGACAGGGCAGTGGTCGCTCCCCTTGAGCTCGGGCTGTATGTTGGCCGCTTTGATCCACGGGAGAAGACCGGGCGTAGCGAGGATGTAGTCGATACGCGTGCCGTAGTTGGACTCGCGAGCGGAGATTTTGGTGTTCCAGCCTAAACTCGTGTTATCGAACGAAGGGAGTAGATAAAAGGACTCACAAGTATACATCCCCTTGCGCTCCGGCCAAAATCGACGCACGACATCGACGAGGCAGCCTTTATTACCGGGCTCGTCCGAAATCAGCCAGTCCCGGAGCCACCGATGAGCCCCAAGCGAATAGAAAGCGTCCTCGCCGCTCACTCCCTCTGCCTCCGCCCGTGCCACCAAGATACTTCCCTCAGCATGGTCCAACACCCCTGCACACGCATTCAAATCACCCACGACCAACACTTCCCGGTGCTCAATCTCCACCAGTCCACGCACCCTCGCCTCAAGTGCACGGTGGAAATCCATCTTGTATCGAAACCGCTCCTCATCCCCGCCGTCGTTCGGGCAGTACAGGTTTATGAGAACGAGTAAGCCGAAATCAATGACCAGGGCGCGGCCTTCAGAGTCAAGCGCGGGAAAATCCAAGTCAAGCTCTGAAGTATCGTCGAGAACTTGGTCAGGGTATGCCTCGGGCCTCGATACGCGCTCCTCGGGGCTCAGTGGAGGTTTGGGCTGTAGGACCCCGCTGAGCCCCTCCTCTGCTTTGAGAGGCTGCAGCAACGAGTCTGTGCGCGCGTAGACGGCGACACCCGAGTATCCGTTCTTCTGTAATGGGAAGGAGAAGAAGGAGTGGTAGGATGGCGGGAGGCCGACTGCTTTCGGGAGGTTTTGCCGCGTGGTTTTCATCTCTGGACACGTCAGTCGGGGAGTGGGTGCGTTAATGGGTACCTTGGAAGCAGATTATATCCGCTTGCAGGAGATTGAGGATGTCGTCGTGCGTTTTCATCGTGTTCCACCTGTGCTCGTTCTGTGGATGCCACCGTGAGATGCGAGAAGGACGCGTACGGATGGTATTGGGGGATTGTGCGGACTCCATTCTAGTGCA